CCCATTGAAAGTACCAGAGGCCAACAATTGCATGAACACCAGAGCTAGCAACCATCGCGCCACCATTTGATGTTCAACTGCGTGTTACATGCGTTGGATACAAGACGTTCAACCTGGTTCACATTAGGTCGAACCATGTAAAACAATGTGGCGACATCTCGGCCAATCAACACGTACGGGGGGGGGGGGGGGCGCACGAACGATTAATTGCCAACGCTGCGAAACTTCGGCCAACCCGCCCGCGCGGGGGGGGGGGGGCGCGATGGCACCACGGCGGCCAACGCCGCGATACCTTGGCGAATTGCACTCAAGCGCTGTTTGTGGAATAAAACTCACGTGGTTCGATGCATAGCGCGCGCTTAGCGCGACCCATGGGGTGCAACCTGGGCCATCGCCCTCGACGCATGCACACTATGGCCGCCGCGCATACGCGGCCACCGCACATGGGCGCAACCCGTGGCTATAGCCCTGGGCGAACCGCGCGGCCACCGCGGGCCCACGCTGGCAAGAGTCGTATGCGAACATATGTCTCAAGATATGCTCATGCACCACCTCGCGCAGTCTTCAACGGTGTTCACGTAGAAATGCGACCATGCATTGCGCATAGGCTACACGCGTGCCTCACGTTAAGAGATCATGTTTCTCCTAAATGTTGCTGCATCTCTTCCATCACTTACTTTAGGTGAGAGCTTGGATCTAGGAGCTCTTGGATGCTCGGGGTGAGCTTCTTGGTGGTCGGGAGGGCGATGCCCGCTGCTTGGCAGACCTCTTCGAGCTTGCGGCGGCCTTCGCCCTCCAGCTTGGCCAGCTGCTCGATGAAGGCCTCGCCCTCGGCGTCGACCCTGCTGCCCCCACCGCCGTCGCCTGAAGCAGCAGGACCAGCATCGCCAGCAGGGACCCCAGCGGGTGCCTTCGCCATCTCGACGTCGTCCTCGGGAGGCGGGGCCTGCTCGGCGTCGACCTCTTGCCGCAGGGCGGCTGCCTTGGCTTCGAGGGCGGCCTTGGCCTGCTGGATGGCCTCGCCGACCGCCCCGTCCTGCTCCCGCAGCACGCTTGCGAGGGCGCGGGCCCCCTCCAGGGCGCTGGCGAGGTCGCCTGCCTTGGACGACTTGGTCCCAGGCGGAAGGCCGACCTCCTGGACCTTCTTGGCCTGCTCCAGCTCGTCCTGGGCGGCTGCCAGCTTCCTGTCAGCTTCGGCCACCTTCCGCTTGGCCTGCTCCAGCTCCTCCTGGGCTGCGCCGAGGGCCTCCTCAGCGGCCTCCTGCTCGCCCCTCCTGGACTTGGCCTGCTTGCCGAGCCGCTCCACCTTCCAGAGGAGCCCCTGCAGCACTTGGGAGTGCGTGCGCGGCTTCTCCTCCTTCGGGGCCTCCTCAGGCGGCTTGGGCAGCAGCTTGGCCCTGTCCGCGTCCGAGAGGACCACCCCCCGCGCCTCGAGCTGGGCCAGCAAGTCCTCCGCGCTCGGCTGCTGAGGCTTCGCCCCCTGGGCGCCGCCGCCTGCGCAGCCAGCTGGTGGCCCTGCGCCGCCCTCATCCTTCTTGGCCTTGGCCTTGGGCGCGGCCTTCGGCGCAGCATCCCGCGTGCCCGCAGCTGGGGGCGCTCCCGCCGCGGCCTCCACTGCGCGCTGGCGCACCGACAGCGGGGCCGCCACCCCGCACCCGCGGCAGGCCAGGCGGCAGGCCCAGTTGCCGTCGGCGCCGCAGCGGCCGCAGCCCCAGGCGGGCTTCCGCGGGCCAGGCAGGACCTTGCCGCCCCCTGCGCTCGCACCGCCCGCGCCGCCGCGCCAGGGCGCGCCGTTGCCTCCGCCGCCGTCGGCCCACGTGACGCGCCGCGGCGCGAGTGGGGGCCGCGGCCCTGCGGAGCCAGCCATGGGAGCCAAGAGGGTTGCGGAAAGCGAGGAATGGTGCCCCTCTCTTCTGTATGGAAAGCAATCGTAGCCCGCGCTCGTGCGTGCACGGCGCTCTGAAGTATGCACGCACAAGACCCCCCCCTCTGGAGAGCCCAGAACGCCTCTCCTCCTCCTCCTCCTCCTCCTCCTCCTCCTCCCCCCTCCTCCTCCTCCTCCTCCTCCTCCTCCTCCTCCTCCTCCTCCTCCTCCTCCTCCCCCCTCCTCCTCGTCCTCCTCCTCCTCCCCTCCTCCCCTCCTCCTCCTCCTCCTCCTCCTCCTCCTCCTCCTCCTCCTCCTCCTCCTCCTCCTCCTCCTCCTCCTCCTCCTCCTGGGAAACCATGACGTCGGGGGAGTCCGCTCCAGAGCATTCCGGAGCGCTCTCAGAACGTTCTGGGACGCACTGAGAAGGCCGCGGCGCCCGATGCATCCTCCAGAGCTGCCAACTCTCAGAGATTCTCGATTTGTCCCCACCCGATGTTGTTCGGGGGCCCCCAAGCGGTGTGGTGACCACACCTGTGTGGTGAGCCGGCGGGGGTTCGGGGTCGCCGCACGTTTGGTTTTGGGGCTCGAGTCCCTCTCCGAGGGTGTCTCGGGCGACTGGAGCCTCCAGGGTCCCAAAACCGTGTGGTGACGGACCGTGCGGTGAGGTCTCTTAGGTTTTCGAGGTCACCGAACGGTCTGTTCACTGCACGGTTTTGGGATCCCCAAGTTATTTTTGAGACGGGCACGTCCCTCTACAGGAGGAACACTCCAAACTAGTCAAACAGTAGTCTGGGGACGATTCTGTGGGTATTTTTTGGTCATGCTTGAATATTTCTGGAGTATCTTGGATCTTTCGTCCAACATCCCCCTGTAGGAGGACCTGCCCGACCGAAGGTTACGAGCGCTGCAGCGAGCAGCTGCTTTCGGCCCCGCCGCCGGGCGCTTGCCTCGCCGGCCTCCCCGCGGGCGCCTGGGGGGCGCCCGGGGAGCCTCTCCGCGTGAGCTGGCGTTCGCCACCCCCTGGGGCTGCGGTCGGGCCGCGGTATGAGATCGAGGCCAGTCTCGTGGAGGACGATCCATGGACAGGAAGCATGCTGCCAGATGCTTTCCAGATGTCTGAGAGATGTTTCAAACATGTTTTGGTACATGTTTAGAACATGTTTTACACATGTTAAGCATCTTGTATTTCAATGATAGGATTGATCGAGTGTCCATTGCCATGGCATCCACAACCCTTGGGCTTCGGTCGGGCCGCGGTATGAGATCGAGGTCAGGCAGCCACGCGCAGAGGGGGGTGCGGGGGAGGGGGGGGGGCTTCTTAGAAGCACCCCTGCTTCTCAGAAGGCGCGGGCCCTATCTGTAGATGTGAGGCCGGCGCCTTCTAAGAAGCGGCCCCCTTCTGAGAAGCCCTCCCCCCTCCCTCCACCCCCTCGTGCGCGCCGCCAGGTCGGTTGGGGGGACGGTGCCTGAGTGTTCTTCGTGCTTGTCGGATGCTCCTGATTGCATCTTGGGGGAGGGCTCCTTCGTGAGTGCGCTTCAGCTCGGCCGGCGGACGGTCTCCTGCTCTTGGAGGGGGGATGTGCTCCTGTCTTTGGTCCTTGGTCCGGCCGCCTCCCCCCCCTCCCGCCCGCCCTTCCGCCTCGCCCGAGGGAGCTGGGGTGCCCGCGCGGTCGCTCCAAGGTCAGGTCGGGCATGCCCCCCTACAGCCCACAGGCGGAGTTTAGGCGAAGAATTCAAAATAGCCAAACATGGCCTACGACTCCCTCGGCCCACATGGGGAACATCTCCTTCGCCTTCTCCTGCTCCCTTCCACCTTAGTCCCCCTCCTCCCCCTCCTCCTCCTCCTCCTCATCCTCCTCCTCGTATTCGTCGTCGTCGTCGTCGTCTTCAGGGTCGGCGGCACTGGCCGTAAGGCCGTAGCAATAAGAACTAGCCCCAACATTTCCAAAACATATTCAATACAACATTAACAAGTCGTCCCCAGACTGTTTGTTTAAACTAGTTCTGAATTTTCCTCCTGTGGAGGGACAGGCCCGGCTCAACTCCAGGGGTTGGGCGCGATGGGCAGGGCAGGCGGGTGGCAGGGCGCGCTTGGGCAGGGCTGCGGGCGGGCTTGAGCGGCTTCTGGGGGCGGAGGGGCCCTGGAGGGCTAACGTCGGCAGCGAGCGAGGGCCCTGACGCGTTCCTCCTCTCCTCCTCCTCCTCCTCCTCCTCCTCCTCCTCCTCCTCCTCCACCTTTTTATTGTCTTTGACAAGAGGGAGGCCCTCGGCGGCGAGCGAGGGGGGGGGAGTGAGAAGGAGAAGGCCCGAAGGCCTTCTCGCAAAGCGGCGGGGCTTCTCAGGAGCCCTCGGCTCGGGAGGAGCTTCTCAGAAGGCTGGAAGACTTTCGAGCCTTCTGAGGCGGCCTTCTCCTTTTCACTTCCCCCCCCCCTCGCTCGCCGCCGACAGAAGATAGCACCGGGACCTCGTCATCCAGATTCCCGTCGAGGCTTGGAGGCGGTCTGGATGGGCAGGGAAGCGGTCGAGGGCCAGGTGCCACCGCTCTGGAAGGTCGGGGGGTGCGGGCACGGAGGCCGCAGGCCAGCCACCAATGGCGGGGCTGTGGCCCCGGGGTTGGCGGCGCGCAGAGGGGGGGGGTACCGGGGAGGGGGGAGGCTTCCATTAGGAGGGGGCTGCCCGCTTCTGAGAAGGCGCCGGCCTTGTATGGAGAGGGCCCGCGCCTTCTGAGACGCAGGGGTGCTCCTGAGAAGCCTTCCCCTTCCCCCGGGCGGTGTCACCGACTTGCCCAATCGTGCTTCTGCCACGTTCTTCCGAACATTGCGTGGGCTACATCCAGCGCAGCGCCGCTAGATGGAACACGTTGACGCTTGGTTGACTAACGAGGTTCAGCTGTGCTCCTTTGGCTTCAGTCGCAAACGTGGCCCCGAGCGTCTCCGGGGAAGGAGAAATTGGGAGGAGTCAGCGGACGAGGAGCAGACGGAGGAGGATGACATAATAATAGCAAAGGGGGACAGGATGAGAGGGGAGGAGGTGCAGCCAGAGGAAGGGGTGATGGAGGATGGGGGGCGAGCAGGTGACGTCGAGCGGAGGTGCTCGGGCCAGGAGCCACGATGAGCTGCCGCGCTCGCGTCAGGCGTGGCCCGAGATCAGCTCCTTCAACGAGGAGTGGAAGGTACTGGGAGGGAGGACGCGACGGTCGGGTGAAACATGAAGGGTGTGCGGCGTGTGTGTAGACATATACATAGATATACACATACACACATGTGTGTGTGTTCGGGATGTGGGGGAGGAGCGAGTGGGGAGGGGCGGGGGATAATGATGACGACGACTATGACTACGATGATGATGATGATGATGATGATGATGATGATGATGATGATGATGCTGATGCTGATGATGCTGATGATGATGACGATGATGATGATGATGCTGATGCTGACGCTGATGATGCTGACGCTGATGCTGATGCTGATGCTGCTGTTGATGATGATGCCGATGTCGATGATGACGATGATGATGATGAAGTTGATGATGATGATGATGATGAACATGAACATGATGATGATGCTGATGGTGATGATTATGTTGATGATGATGCTGATGATGATGACGATGATGATGATGATGATGATGATGATGATGATGTTGACCCTGGTGTTGACGATGGCGATGCCGATAGACCGCGATGATGATGGTCATGTTGGTGGCGATGGTGATGTTCGGGAGGCGGATGATGAGAAGAGGAGGATGGAGACGGAGGTGGATGAGGAGAAAGGAATAATGGTAGATGGCCGAATGAGGAGGGTACACCACCTAAGGGGACGGCGAACTGGGGGAGGTAGGGGGATGCGGACTATGACGAGCAGGAGGAGGCTGAGGAAGCGAACAGTAAAACGTGGCCACGAGAAGATCGACGAACAGCAGCAGCATGATGAGCGGCACAATGACGATGATGTGGAGAATGAGGGTGGGGAGGTGGATGAGAGGGAGGTGGATGGCGAGGAGGCGCGGGCGGAATAACCCGAAAATGCAGACGTGCAGGTGAAGGATGCCCCGACAAAGACCCTGGGATGATTCGTGCGTGGGTCCTAATGATGAGGAGACGGAGGATGAGGAGGCTGAATCGAATCAACACCA